GCAGCAGCAGCAGCAGCAGCAGCAGCCGCTTTATGTGCAGCGGTGGGGAGAGGGTGTATTCACAGCAGCAGACAGAAATATTTGTAGCTATTTTTTGTTGTCTTTCTTTTTGTCTTTTTCTCTCTTCTATCTGTCTCCTTTTTTATTTATTTATTTATATTTATTTATTTATTTATATTTGTTTATATTATATTTATTTATATTATATTTATTTATTTATATTTTCTTTGTTTACTCTCTCTTTTATCTGTCTCCTTTTTTATTTATTTATCTATATTTATTTATTTATTTATATTATATTTATTTATTTATATTTTCGTTGTTTACTCTCTTCTCTATCTGTCTCCTTTTTTATTTATTTGTTTATATTTATTTGTTTATTTATTTATATTATATTTATTTATATTTTCTCTGTTTTCTCTCGCTTCTATCTGTCTCCTTTTTTATTTATTTATTTATATTTATTTATTTATTTATATTATATTTACTCATTTATATTTTCTTTGTTTTCTCTCTTTTCTATCTGTCTCCTTTTTTATTTATTTATTTATATTTTCTTTGTCTTTCTTTCTCTCGCATCTGTCTCCTTTTTTATTTATTTATTTATATTTTATTTGTTTTCTTGTTTTATCTGTCTCCTTTTTATTTATTTATTTATTTATATTTATTTATATTTATTTATATTTATTTATATTATATGAATATAGAGGGAGACAGAGAAAAGATAGAAACAAACAAAAACAAAGGAGACAAAAACAAACAGAGAAAACAAAATAAAATAAAAAATAAAATAAAATAAACAAAAATAAAATAAAATAAAATAAAATAAAATAAAATAAAATAAAATAAAACAAATAGAAAGAGAAATACACAAAGAGATAGACAGCATAGAGACAGCAAAGAGAGAGATAGAGACAGAAACAGATAAGGGTTTAGGGTTTAGGGTTTAGTAAACCCTAAACCCTAAACCCTAGACAGATAGAAAAAGAAAAGAGAACCCTAAACCCTAAACCCTAAATGTTTATTATTTTGTTTTTTTTATTTGTTTATTGTGTATAT